GATCTGGATCCTTTCAATTGACTCAAGGTATCAGTTTATCAAGCAGCCTTCCCGGCAAGATCAATCCCTCCCGGATTGTCCTGGAAATTCCAATAATTTCCCTACCCTCTTTTTATTTGCCTGGGGAGAAAAAATGGCAGCCATAATTCTGTCAATGGTGCACCTCGAAGTTTGCTTACCTATGGTGAGGGAACGTCAAGGAGTGCTGGACTTGTGTTTGGGTTTGGTCATACGTCACCCAACCTAACAAAATGAGTCTGAAGTTATCAGAGCCACTTCTGAATTCAAGGCCTTGAAAAGAATCTTGCACCGTGGAAATCCGGTGAACCCCCAACCTTTTTTTGCCCACCTCTCAGGATGACCGACTGCGTGATACATTCCAACAAAGAGAACTGTTGGCTCCTTGTGATCCCACTCAAGAGAAAAAATATAATTGGCAAAAATATGGCCTTAAGACTCATTTTGTAGGATCACGTCGCATATTCCAACTCCAAGACAACTTCCAGATATGCATTGTACACCGTCCATGAACCTCAGGAGAACTGTTCATTGTTCTCCTTGGGTTGAGTTCCTGGAACTGGATGGCACAGATCACTTTGCCAAGCAAATGAGCTCATGTGCCCGGGGTCTCGGCTGACTTCTGTTCAGCCCATAAATTTGTCTTGGTTACTTCTGCTTAGCTCCACAAACTGAGACTCTGTACTTTTTGCAAGGCTTGAGTTACCCTGATTTTTACCATCATGGCTGTTTCCCTCTTTGGATTCTCCCAGATCTGAGTCCGTAGTACTGGTATTTTTCAACCGTTCCAGACCCTTGTTTGAACTGTGAGATTGTCGGCAATCTTGGAAGCTTCTCCCAAATTGTCAGAGCGGAGATGAAAAGTTTTTTTCCTGTTCAGGGCGGGGGTTGATTTAGAGAAGTTGAAGTTACATTCCTGACAAATGTCAGGGGTGAGCGTGTGTGGAGAGTCACGTTCCAGTGTTGGACTTTTTTTGTGTGTGGAATTGTGAGTGAAAACCTTTCATCGCTTTTTTCCCCCCAGTGCCTGTACTGTTGTCAGCTATTTTTACATCTGAATGGGGTGTGTACGTGTGGTTCATCTTGACATGTATGTCGGTATTAAACCAGAATGCCACTGCTTGTTAAATCTGCAATGGATGTTCAGCTGCCCACCCTATTCAAGAATCATGAAATGAGAATATTCCTTGCTTGGGACTTTCCTGTGGGATTAAAGACTTTTATCATGAGAAAATGTTGGACCGACTTGTGAGGACTATGTTGTGTCCTCACAGTGTTTTTGTCCCTGCCATACCTGTGCTGGTAAACCCGTTCATGCATTGCAGAGACAAAGCATTGTAAGGACACATCAAAGTCCTCACCGATATTTTGATGATAACACATGTATCACACAGAAATTACACCTGCCCAATGCATGTATACCAGAACATGTACTGCAGACACTAAGCATTGTGAAGACACACCAAAGTCCTCAATTCTGGAGAGCATTTTTGTATCTCACAGAAGTTACATGTTCACATACATGTTGTCCCAATGCATGTAATGGTATACATGCATTGGGTACATGTATGTCTGACTTCTGTATGATGATTTGGTTTCATCAAAATGTCTGTGGGAACATTGGTGTGTCCTCACAATGCTTTGTCTCTGCAACACATGTACTGGTACATGTATACATGCATTGGGCAGGTGTAACTTCTGTGTGATACATGTGGTATCATCAACATGTCTGTGAGGACTTTGATGTGTCCTCACAATGCTTTGTCTCTGCAGTATACGTGCACTGGGTATTTCTGACTTCTGTGTGATATTGTGGTATCATCAAAATGTCTGTGAGGACTTTGATGTGTCCTCACAATGCTTTGTCTCTGCAGTATACGTGCACTGGGTATTTCTGACTTCTGTGTGATATTGTAAAATGTCTGTGACTCCTCTTGTGCTTGAATCATTGCGGAAACAGAGAAGTCGATGTCATCCTTCTGGATCACATTCAACCACGGAGATCTATAGAAGAAACTCAACTGAAATTTGAAGCTTGATGTGTCTTTTACTTCTTTTTTACATTTATGCTTATTCATTTGGGTGTGATTCACTCCATCCTAGTATCTAACAACCAGACCTGTTTGTCCAAAATACTGAAGTGGGGAGGCTAGTTTTGTTTCCTTCAATTTGTCAGTTCATTGGTTTTCCAATTTTTTAAAAAGCAATTTTTCGCTGGCCCAATTTCTGTGTAATCCATCTCGTACGAAAAAGGGAGCTTGGAATTTGGTGAGAAACGATATTGCACAGCTGACAGCATTACTGAGAAATTACTACTGAAACGTGGACTCTGCAAGTAGATTTGAGCAGATAGGGAAGTCGCAAGTAGTATGTCTGCAGATGAATCACCTTGCATTTGGGATGATGGGCTGTGTTTGCCTCGCAAAAATGTTGGATTTCACCCTGACAGATCATGCACTTTACGCAACCCCAGAGTTACTACCAGTAGCAGATTATCCCTGAGCCTATTTTGAGAACACCATCACAATGCACGTTTGCGTAAGTTGTACTGGAATTAGAAAGGTTTTGAACAGTTTTCCAATCAATGCTTACCGATTCCAGGAATCGGGAGCTTTCTCCATCACTGTAGCTAGAGCGTGAATGTTTTACGGAGGTTGTTTCACGCAGTCATGCTTGACCAATTGCGACTTTTGATGACCCCACAATTCAGTGATCTGACCTCTTCTTGGCAGCATTACCGAATATCGACACAGCTTAACACTTTTTTTTTCCCACTGAGAAAACTCCACCTGATGAATTGTTGACCAAAATGTGACTTTCCTTTTTATTAATGCAATATTGGCTAATACCTGAAACACATCAATCATGATCACTTTGTGCTCACTGACATTTGAGTGGGCCAATGCGATAGTTTGCAGTGCTTACTGCTGACATTCAGGCCTTGATCCGAGCGTAGAAAGGGGGTGTCTTCAGCTGGAATTTAGCATTTAGATGAACCGCTGGACGTTTTCCATCCAAGGAGTGCCGTGAATTGTTCACTACCCACTTAATCTCTTCCAAGGATTAGTGGTCGCATTATCCCTGTGCAGGGGGGGGCAAGTTTGGGACGGAGGAATTAATCAAGTTTCCTAGTTTGAAGTGGAATTTGTGACCTGCAATATTTAAGATAACTGTACTGTGGATGCAGACATGTAAAGGAGATAACGGGAAATTGGAGATGAAAAGAAGTTTGTACTAACTCTGTCAACTGCGGGCAAAATGTTTGAATTCCCGTAACTGCTGAACTGAAATGGAAGACATTTTCAGCTTTGAAAGAAAAGACGGTTGAACTAGAAAATCTTTGTTGTATTCAGACTTGTTATCTATGAAAAGACAGTGGCTAAGGGCCCAATCTGGCCAGTGGCTCGATCTGGCTCATGGCTAGTCTGCATGGCCAGCAAAGCCACTGCGGCTACCATATCGCATCCACTGTGCTGACCATCACATCCACCTGCAGCTACCTGGACATGTTTGTTACCAGTGTGCAGTGAATAGTCACCCTGGTTCCCAATAGCTACTGTGTACATGTATATGGTGGCCGCTGTGGCCAGCCATGCTACCAGCAGAGGTCACCTTGGCCTCCATGATTTGTCCCCACACGGGTACCAAGCAGCAGTGAACTATGCCCACCATGGTCAGCATGAACACTGTGGCCACCCGAGATGTATTGGTACTCACAGTGGCCAGTAATCACGGCCACCACCGCAGCCTGTATCAATCACTACAGCATGGTGGCCACCATTGCCATATGGCCTCCAAAATCACCATGGCCACCCTCCACAGTGGCCCCTGCAGCTCCCTTAATCACTGCAGCCACCAGGGCCAACATCACCAACAAGGCCACCTGTGCAAGCCTTTTAGTAGCTGCTCCCCCTCTCCTTTTCCAGGAATCTCCGGCATTTGACGGGCAGTTTCAGTGCAGCATTGATTAATGGCAAGTCTCCTCATTGGTAACAACCACCTGGCTCTGCCATGTTCCTCAAGTGATTAATTTGCCCCCCTCAGTGTCAACTGACAAATTACCACCACCTTCTTTACTTTGCACAAACACCAATCAGATTGTCTCATATGATGTAGGGTAGGTTGTGCATTTCAGAAATTGCGGTTGTAAATGTTGTCGTAGCGCAATATGAAAACTGCCTACCGTATCTGAGAAAAGCATTCAGTGATAAAGTTGTTAAAAGTAGATACAAGAGTATATCCAAGTACAGAGAGTGTACATGTACTTGAATGTCATTGTAACTGGACTATGAACATTACATGGGTGTGAAATTTAGTGTCATCATCTCTAGGTGTAGCAGTTAAAAAAATTTTATGGGAAGTATAATTATAAATTTGCTGAAATTCATTTTGAGAAACATGCAGGATTGTAAGGTGTGTTATACTGTTGATGCACAGCGCCCTCTATTGCTAACACTGCAACACATTAAAAAGGAACTTGAGTCCAGCACTGCACCTCCCATTTAATACGGGCGATTCACAGAAGTGCGCCTTCAAGAGTTTGCAACGCGTTGACCAATCATAGCGCGCGAAATCTGTCGACCCAATGCACGATTGGAAAGGGTCTACAGCTTTCGCGCACTGTGATTGGTCAATGCGTTGCAAACTCTTGGAGGCGCACTATTGTGAATCGCCCATATTGATGGTCAATTTTTCTCTGTAGAAATCCCTATTTCAACCTGCGGTATATTTGTCTGTGTGATTACTTCAAATGTTGACGAGCAATTCATGGAATGCATGCTCGACTTGTTTAATTGCAGATAGTACATGTAGCTTGGAGACCGCAGCGCCATCCGGAACGGGTGTGGTCACTCGTAAAATAGTTTCAAGGAAAGTTTGCTTAATATTGAAAAAGATAATTCAATGACTTTAGAGCTTCTACTCAGAATTCTTAGTGACGTGGAGAAATTTTAAAGTTACTTACCATTTTTTGTTGCACTCAGTGATCCTGTGAGGGAAACAAGATGATGACAACAGAGTCGTCGATGGACAGACACATTCAGCAGACTACTGAGCGTTTGATTTGCATAAAGCAGGTGAGAATGAGACTACATTTGCATGTCAGTTACCGCAGCAACCGCAGCCCCGGGAATAGTGGCTTTTTTTCTGGACACATGCTGGAGATTACTAGAAGTGTTCAACAACCTTCAAGAGCTATCTGTTTGCAAATCACTGGACCTTTGTCTTGCTGCGTGTGTTCTGAGAGCAGTCATGGGGTATTGAAGATTTTGTTTCTTCAAGGGGCTGACACTCGCATATTTTGTTGTTGTTTTTTTAACTCGCCCAAATGACTGAGGATTGTATGTGTTGTTGAATACTACCAGTAAGATTAATTTTGTGGAAAGAGGACAGTGTCTGGATTTTTTTTATTGAGCTTATATTTGGAATGTCGTGATGAAGACAAGTGTGTGTGCATTACAAAAATGCTTGGTGAAAAAACACATAGCCACTGTGCTATAGTGTTAAAGAAAATGAGACAGTTGCTTTTTTCAACCAGTGGATTGTTTAAAGTGATCGAAATGATATTTGCTTCGGTTCAAGGACAGCTCCTTGAAAAAGTTGCTTTAGAATGATAGATCATTTTTAAGTGAAAGACATCACCAGCTGTGCACAGTATAAAAAAGACCAGAGGTAGATATCGAAGATTTACCGTTATACTTTGGTCCAAATCTTTTTTTTTTTCATCATTTTATCATGTGCTTTGCTGCTTCAAAATGAGTGGTTTCACTCTTACTGTTTCTAACCAACAAGCACCGAAATGATTTTGTCTGCGCTTTAAAAGAAAATCCCTTTTTTGCACAAGGGCAGTCGAGTGAGCGCGGTGTGGCAAGTTTTATTTGACACTCATTCCTGCACTTTTTAAGGTACCGGCACATGTTGGTGATGTACTCTGAGTAGCATGCACACGCATCTACATCTGGATCGGTTTACTAACCACCCTTGACTTGATCCTCTTGGATCTGTCAGCTCATCTGTCCACACAAATGTTCTTTTCTGTGTTTAATCACATTTCTGCTTGACACCACCTGTATGCCGTGCCCAACATTTATCAGCCACTTACCTGTAAAATTGAAAGAGTGGAAAAATGAACATTGCCACTTGTGGATTTTCTCGGCGTCCTGCCTTTACAAAAACATCTCTCTGGCCCTTGGGCCGAATGATTTCAAGTTACCAGGAAGCAGCACCTGTGATTATGACAACTGAGCCGTTTTTTTCATTCCCCTTGGCCTTCTGGGTAGTAGAAGTATTTGCCAAGGAACTGGCTATGCATGGGGTACATGGAAGCAGCGGTACTATGGCCGCCAAGATGTTAAAGAACATCTCTGAGAATGGCCTTCTGGGCAGTTTTTCAGGATTCGGAATCTCAGAACAAATTTTTCAAGCGCCGGTGTTCTGGTGACGGAAGGACGGAGACCGGCGCTCAAATGAAATGGATGAAGACCAAGAGCTATTGGCGCGGCTGCCCACACGGACCAGCCCCTATTGTGTAATCAATAAATGAGATTGCCTGATAATGCTAAAGTTGAGCAGCCGCCAATGATCCACCCCATCCCTCATGATTTGCTGTACTGCAGCACGGCGCAGAGACCCGTGTATTTACCCTGTCCGTGTTGCCAAATCGTCTCGGGAAGGGGTACATCAATACTGGGTGTTTGCAAACACCTGTACACAGATCTCCGCGAGCTCGGCAGCCGCTCCGCACGGACAACAGCTTTTATGAACTTGGAGTTCTATCCAGGGAGATGCATTGTAAACTCCCAAGGCTTTTATTTCTGTGGAAATCTTATTGATCACGGTAGAATTGATTTTTTTTTTTCCCCTTCGAGAATGGGACAAAAGACAAGAAATTGCCTCAGCCGCAAGTGGGCATGTTGGCATTCGTGACTTTGAAATGGTCAGAAAAGGAAGCATTGCCCTTTTAATTAAAAAATTGTGCACGGCCTTGTGTTCAGTACCACTGGAAAAGCCTGATTCTTTTTTTTTTTTTTTTTTTTGGCAACGGATGAACCCAGATTTGTCCCCTGGAGATTTTACTAATGACTACATGTACTGTACTTATTGACATAATAGTTACTTATTATTTTAACTGGAAACATTAAGAACGCAATGCAAACATCACTTTGTACCGAGCGGTTTCTTGGACTCTTGTTGATAATGAAATGAAGCCATATTTGCATTCATAAGTAATTGTTAAACCACAGAAAAAATCAGAATTTTCAAGTGTTTAAGATGAACGTTATGTACGTCTCACAGTGCCACAAATGAAGCTGCAGATTTCAGGTTAGTTTATATTGAATGTTTTCATCACATCAATGGAGTAGCAGAAATATCGCTTGGTTGCACAGTGCCTTTAAACCAAACAAGGTATCAAGTATTAACAAATTCTCTATTAATAAATCAACTCGTTAGTAAATCCATACTTTCTGAATGCTTAACCAGTCACGTACATGCAGTTAACCTGAACAGCTACACATTCCATTCAAACCATTGCAATCGAAGAAGACACTGCAAATGCCAAATCGGAGACCTTTTCTAAAACAAGGCCGGGCACATTACGCTTTTTCCATCCGCTTATTAGTACCTAAGCAATTACACGTCGCATTATTTGCAGAGATGCTGGGCGTTGGAAACGAGCGATTTGGGAAAGGCCAAGTGGTGCGGCTAAATAATAGAGCTGCATCGTTGAAGCACGTCATCAATTTAATATGATCCCCAGCTCGCTCATTCGTTCTGTGTCTCCTCCCCCGTCCCCCCCCCACAATGAGCTATTTGCCTCGATGCCGTACCCAAGGTAACATTTTTTTGTCGAACTGTATAAATTAGCATTTTGGGCCCACAGGCTCCCGTGTCATCTGCTGATGTTCTGGTTGGCTCTTCTCGGAATGAACGCACGAAATTGTTCCAAATCACGTAAACAACCAACTCCTATCCACACAAACACCCAATCGACGTATACACCCCATCTCATGGCTGTACGGTCCTTACTCATGTCTGTAGCAATTTTTTTTTTTAAGTTAAATGGGAAAAGCGGCTGTTAACTCGCATATTCATAGCAGTGAGGCATGTCCGTTAAGGTGACAAAGGAATGGGCTAACAGGTTTCTCTTTTGGAACTGCTCAGCCTTTTAGGAGGGAAGATGAAACGTTAGTTTTCGTAGTTTAATTACTCAGGGTGGGAGAAAAAATTATTTGATGACATTTGTGTATTCCGCTGCAACGGATGAATATGAATTAACTTATATTGATCCGTGGGTTTTTTTTTTCAAGAGAGTAGACAGGGTTTTTTTATTCATCACATTTTTTTTGAAATGCAAAATTTTACAGATGAAAGTTTCTTTGTGAACAAGTGGATTTTGAACTGTCTCCATCAGAAATGTTTATGTGAAATATTTATAACCTCTCTCACTTCAGCATTGGATGATTCCAGAAATTAATTACAGGTCCAAAAGTGTGACATTTTTGTGTCCCTGTTACATCTGACCTTTGTTATTTGACTTGGAAATATCACCGGGATTGATTTCAGACTATTATTACTAGTTTGGCAGGTGATTTGCATTAATTCATCACTCTTGGAAATTAGAAAATTGTTCTGAACTTACAAACTCGTATGTCATGTGTGACAGGGACCTGAAAACTGGACCCCTAATTTCTGGAATTACCGTATTATCCCAGCTAAAGTTGAACTAAATATTTGGACTTTTTTACCATAATAATTCTGTTTGTGACCTTAATCTTTTGCTAAACCTTTTCTACCTTCCCTACCAAAACCTGGATTTAGAAGAAAAAAAAAGAAAGACAAAAATTGATTGAGGCGTCAGAGACAGCTTTAGAAATATTTTCACTACAAATTGTTGACAAGTGTGTGAGTGTGTGTGTTTGAGACCCCACGACCGTTTTTCACCCTGAGGGAACATCTTATGAATTATTTGATTAGCCGTGAAAGCTTAATGGCCAACTCAGGCAGAATCTCTGAGCGCAGCAAACAGACACGGACAGATCGAGCCCACAAACTCACAAATCGGAAGGTCAGAACGTCAAAGTGTCGTGCAAAAAAGGGGGGGGGTCTGTGAATACTTGAGGCCAAAGATGACCAGGCATTTCAGAGCTCACGTTGGCAGCTTGACCGACCGCAGAATTTTACGGTTGTGGAACCGTTGCCAGTAACAGTGGTATTGCAAATACTCAACATCAACTGTCAGCCTATCCAGATAAATCTTTAGTGTTTATACATGTACATTATACACAATTACATCTGTCAGTACACACACATGTATGTTATCATTTGTACGCAGCTAACCTGTGAAAATGTGCTTACTGAGCAGACACAAAATATTTGGGGTAATCAAGCACATGAGAGGATCCCTGATTTTTTTTTATTCTTCTTTTGAAAAGGCTCCCCAAAACGAAACGAAAATAACAAAACATGATAAGAATATTATCATATGCCTGGTGTAACAGTGAATGTTTACAGTGATGATGTAACTTGCATGTGTGTTTGGGTACCATGGGCAGGATTACCAGCCATTATTTGGTGCTTCTTGAGAAGTGATAGATTACCAATAGCATACCCAATCATGGAGAGGGCCAGAGGGGAAATATAGTGGATTGTTTCATTTCTAGTGGGGTGAAAATGTTGGGGTTGAGTGTTGAGGAGGGGGCAGTGCTCTAACAACCAAACTGGTAATGGGTCATTCTACTATAGATAAGGGGTCCAATTTTGGTGCCCCTGTCACATCTGACATATGATTTGGTAAGTTCAGAACACATTTTCTAATGTCTAAGAGTGATGAATTAAGGCAAATTACCTGCCAAACAAATAGTAATAGTTTGAAATCAATCTCAGTGATATTTCCATGTCAAATTACACAGTTCAGGTGTTACAGGGACACAAATATGTCACACTTTTGGACCCCTAATTTACAGAATGGCCCCAATATCCAACCTGCATTTTTTGGGTACTAGCCTGTACATGAATGTGAGTAAAAGAGTCTTTCTTATCAATTTGTGCAAAGTTTGCATTTGGAGAAAAAAAATCATCTTTCCACAAAGAACTGTAATAAGCTGTGTGATTTTCCGTGTATTTGGTATTTGATTATGGTTGTGTTGAATACAAGAAGGATAAATGACTTCCAAAGGTCCACATGGCCTTCTGTAAAGGACATCCTGGTATATATGGGTGATTACATAAATTAGAGGTGCAACTTGGGGACAGTTTGGTGCTCTGTTATGGGTGAAACCATTCAGCTTTTCTGGATGGAACTAATATTAGTACTGTTCACAATCAGTAGATCAAACAGGATGACATTGTTTATGACCTGTACAATATACAGTTCAATCTGGACAATGTTTGATGATGTGGTTACAATTTTACATGAAGAAAAGTTGACAGGCTTCACGTGTAACAGGACACCCAAATGTCCCCAAGTTGGACCCCTAATTTATAGAATCAGCCATATATGCTGACAAGGGTGACGTTATTTCTGATGAAACAGACATAATCAATTGTACAGGTGTCCGTAGCGGTGACCAGTCTATGGAGTGGTCCTGAATCGGGCAGAGATTTGGGGCTGTTTGACTCGAAATGCTCATTGCATCATGTTGCCTTTCTGTTGAAAATCATGTTTGTTTGATGTTTTACCATAGTGAAGGAAACCTGTGTTTGTTAGGTTTCTTTTTTTTTCTTGTGAAATTTTCAGAGATTTTCCCTTGTTGGGATTTTCCCCAAAAACTAAATAAACTTAGTCCAAATGTTAATAGGTCAGAAGTCGTTCAACTTGGAGCCAAAGAGATTTCGGAACTTGCCAGACAGTGATACTAACATTGGCGTTAATGGGATGCTAGAATGCAGTTGAAAAATGTAAATCTCTCAGAGTCATTCTGGATGAAGATCTCTCTTGGAGTGAACAATGCAGAGAAAAGGGCTTTCTTAGGAATCAATATCAAGAAAGTTTAAAATATAATCCCTAGAGGGCCTGTAATCTTTTTGTACAGATTCATTGTTCTCTCAAATTTTGACTACTGGACATACATGTAGCGTGGGCAAACTATTGGATTACGCCGCAAGAAACGCTTCCAAAGCTCCAAGATAAAAGCGCCAGTCGTCATCAGGAACATGAACTAGAGTGTCCTAAGTTGTGTTGACCTGGAAGAGCTCAGTGTGGTTCCTCTCATATGCTAAAAGACATTCAGCACAATGCAGCCGTGATGTACAAAAATGTCAATAATGGGGTGCCACAATTTGTGACTGAGAAATTTGACGTCATCCATTCAAGCTGTACCTTGAGTAGAATTAATCGGTTTAATGCAATCCCAAAACCAAGAAATCTGAGTCTCTAAAAGGAAATTATAATTACAAAGATTTAGCTACGGGTGCATGTTCATGGTTCAACTCCTTACAATCAGAATGCGCCCAGTCTGCCATGTTTTATTCAAAATGAAACTGTCTTGAACCCTGCAGTGTTAATAACATTTTTCCTCCTGTACTTGCCTCTTTGATCTGCTTTTAATGCCAAGTTGTCATTTGTTCTTTCCAAGTTTAGTCACTTGAGTTTCACAAGTAAATCTTTAACATTTATTTTCTTTGTTTGAATTCATTTCAAATTTTATTTGTATGATCTCTGTGTACGGTCTAAATCTTGTTTTGACTGCCTCTGTTTATCTTGTCCTTTTATCTTATCAAAATACACCAGATTTTGTCTGTTCTGTTTAATGAATAACTTCAAATATATTCTCGTTTTATTTGCTTCCAAGTAGTTCGTGTGATATCCAAATGACAGCAATTTTTATGTGCATTTTACTAACTTTGTTCAGCTCCAAGTGTACTCGTAAATTTTCACGGCTCGTTCTGTTGATTGTTTAGCTATTATTTGTTATATGGGCATGCTGTTTTATTCCCTTCTTTCTTAAGTTTTTTCTTATCCCTTTGGGCACATTAATGTGTCCGTTTGTTTTTGTGTGGTTTAACGTTCTGATTCTATATTTTTTTCCAAGTTTACAGCTTGTTGTTCAACAGGGCTCGTTGAAAAACAGCCTTGGTTGAATTGGTTACCATGTATGAACATGTTTGAATAAATGAAAAATACAAATTCTTTCAGGAACAATGTAGGCTCATATACCCCAAGATCTCGGTCATTTTTGTGTCACACCGACGTTGACCATACTTTTGGTTCCTCGTTTTCTTTTTGCTTACAGCAACTTTCCCACCCAAGTACCTTCACGACCGCAGCCCGGGAGCTCCTAGAGTGGTGCGCTGATCCGAGAGCTTTCCAACGATCCTTTGAACCCGGCCTGATCGGTTGCCTAACGGTGAGTCACTGGAATGAGCCAGTACTTGATTTGAGGTTACTCGTTGAGTGAGTGATTGTTTGAAACACAATCAAGGCTAGCAAAACTCATGACTTTCTGGCTCCACACACTGCCTCGAAAATGGTGCACGTCTGAAGACGTCAAGCCTCAAAGAGCTGGGGGAGGGAATAGAATTCCTTCTCCCACACCCCCCCCCCCGCACATTTTCTCAGATACTGTCAAGTTGCACTTCATTTCACAATGCTGAGCTTTCGGGAGTTTTTTTGCTGATGTCTTGCTTTATCTTTTCAACCTGAGGGTGTGAGATGTAAGTGGCCATAATAAAAACCCTTCATTGGATGGAATTTGAACTTCACAGATGTACTGAAAAGGAAGGTTTTTACTTTGCTTGCAAAATTTTAAAAAATCAACAACAAATTGTTCAACATACACCTGAAATCTTGGAATTTGGAAACCTTGACCCCCCCCGTTCTGAAAAGATCTCCCAAAACCTGGGCATTCTCGATTGACTGACTATAACATTGTAACTGAAGATTTGCTGTAGGGCTTACAACATATTGTTACAGTGTGGCCATTATAGGCCGTAGTTTCTTCAGTTCACACAGTGATTCACCATAGTTTGACTAATAATACTCATTGGCCCACACATTTGTCAATAGATTTTTCAAAACAGCATTTTCCCTAAGTGTCGATCACAATAATTTTACATTTGGTAGTGCACATTCCAAACACACAATGAATTGTTCGTTTATTGGTACGTCTTCCTGTGGTCTTTAATGCTCTCCTTATTTGGAAAAAACCACAATGGTCCTATAGAGATCCCATAAACATTCACCTGTTGGTACCTTCCACCCCTATTTAAAAAGAAAAGCAAGCAGGAAAACCTGGAATAGATTTACCTATCCCTCTATTGTGTGTACTTGAAATCCTCGGATGTTTGTGCAGCTAAACCATAGAAACCTTTTTCTGACTGCAGCGCGGCCGGGCAGAGCAGGATATTGGTTTAGGATGTGTAATATATAGAAAATGCAGCGTGACACGAAGTTGTTTCCCTTTCTGGTAGGGAGGCCTGGTGCACAGTCCTCACGCGTGCGCGCGTGGGTCGCTGACAGGAAGTTTGGTATCGGGCAGTTGAGTGCTGTCAGGTACCCCCTCTGTTTCTGTGGACATTGCGTCAGGGTTTCTGTTTTTCCAAAATCAGTTGCTGGAACATTTGGGTTACAGAATCAAGCTTTCTGATGACTAGCGAGGATTCTGAGTAATAAATGTTTTACCTATTCCGGTCGGTTCTGTGGTTTCATTTTTTGACCTTGTTAAAAATAGAACGTTCACTCTGATAACAGCCAACTATGGAACATTCCATGCATGCAGAAAAATCCCCCGAAATTTAACACCTGCTGTGGGAAGTGGAAGTTTTCAAAGATTTGGAAATATTCATTGAGATTGTCCTTCACACTTTTACTTTACATTTTGAGACTTGAGTTTCCAGTTTGAATGAAGTATTAAATGAAAGAATGAGCCGTGGGTTTACTATAATTGCACTTTTGAGGGAAGGGAGAATATCGTCACTTTAACAATGCAGTTGTAACAATTCCTGAGCTCGTGTCCGTTTTTTTTGGTTGAAAGGTCAAAGTTATTCCAGGGCATCCTGTATGTGTGCACTGCCATTGTCAGAGAATTTTCGATCTTTTGGTCTGTGTAACTCAGCCGCTGGGGTGAAGAAATGACGAGCATAAATTGATTTAATCAATTGAAGTGGTATAGAGAATTACCGGACGATAGCACACTTAATTGGCAAATTGATTGACTCATTGATTGGGCCTTGTTTGATTGGCCGAGTGATGGGTGCGAGGATTTGATTAATCTGCCGATCAGGATCATGACGGCAGTGTCAGAAATGTTTCTGACATGTTTGCTTTTCCCATAAAACCGCCCAGCTGCCACAGCAACGGCTGTTTTTATTTTTGGATGCCGGGTCAAAGGTTTTTGATTAAAGCTTGTGCATTTTGGCACATTGTTGGTGTTGATACAGTCTGTCCTACATTGTGTTTATCAAAGATAATTTGGCCCACAAAAGAGCTGAGATAGGTGATAAGCTTAGTGAATGCACAGACTACTGCAGCTTGGCGGCATTA